GAATGACAGTAGGTTAAAATATATCGCCATATATCGAGTGACAGTAGGGCCAAACTATTATCGCCATATATCCAGTGACAGTAGGTCAAACTATATCGCCATATATCGAGTGACAGTAGGCCAAACTTTATCGCCATATATCGAATGACAGTAGGTTAAAATATATCGCCATATATCGAGTGACAGTAGGTCAAAATATATGGCCATATATCGAATGACAGTAGGCCAAAATATATGGCCATATATGTAGGTCATCAGTGGTATATATAGCATATCTCCGTATACTATTTCCCTTTTCAATAATATTATTCAAGATTATTTTACTACACGCTGCCGTACAATTAAACGGCGCGTTCCCACTGTTTAATCGATACCACGAGGTGTCTGCCTATCTTGTGAAGTCAACAAATATTAGTGGACATTTTCATGAGTTATAATAATTTCTTCTATAAGTGAATATGCAACATTTGTGTGTATACCAATATTCAAAAAAATAAAAACAATAACATTGTCACGGCTGGATTAGTCTAGCGTATTGGCTAATTCGACATTCCAATCCACATGTGTTGTTTAAAGAACAATGCGACCAGGATCATTTCCTTTAAACGAATTTAGGTCATATTCATCGCAAAAATGAACATTTTTCGTAGTGTCGTTTCCCATGAAAGTTACTTAACCTTGTTCATTACCATTCATTCTTTCCCCAAATGTAAATAGGTGATTGAAAATACTTCTTAAATTTTAACGGTACGTAATCGACGCCCATAGCAAGTATTTTCAGTCGTCTGACCCATCGTTGTCGTGTAAAGAATTTGTTACATTACGTATATTTAGAGAAGAGGGATTTGTGCTAAGAATGCTTGGCAGCAGTACAACTACATTTGATTATAAATCTGTGTAAAGATTTCCCTCAGCAGAAAGAACATTAGAAATGTCTTCAGCATTGTATCATCTTCCCACCACTGGTAGCTGCTTTCTGCTTTTTAAAAGCTCGGTATTTATGCACACAATTATTTACCCAACCGTTATTTTGATTTTATTTATGCCATCAATTCATCCTTAGTAGACGGAGATTGCATTCTGACATTCAACGGAGTTCATTTTGGGCGTGATGGATCACTGGGCAGTAATTACGTTATATATCCCCATAAACTCGTTTATAAGTCGGTTCTCGGTCGGATCTTATGCATCGCCGATGGGGTTGAACCAGTCTGTGCTCAACGCCGGTTTGTCATAGCAATCAACGTCTAATTCCTGAGAAAATGATTCACTCCATGCAGCGAGTTTTGATATTCTGACGGTGTGCGTGCGAGCCGATGTTATAGGCGGTTTTCTTGTATAAATATTCAGAGTTACAATTAAATATGAATGAACTCACAGAATGTCACGTGGGACTCATTTCGAACACTACGCGGCGCGGCGACTCTAACACCATCTTTGTCAATGGCTTTCGTTTTCACTGTTTCTGTCGGTGAACTGCCCAGTACGTTTGAGGTGTTATACGAAAAACAACAAACTTAAAAGCCTGACCCCATAAACAGTTGTACAATAATCAATAGTCTCGTCCTTCAAACATATATGTATTACACCTCTGCATAGCAGGTAAATGTTTGATTTGAAACACCGGGAAATTCTGAAAAAGTTGCATTCTTTTGCATTCGTCGTAGACCTTGAACGAACCTACAAGTTTCTGACAGAATATTTCGCAAAGCAAAAATGTTATTATCTCGTTTTGAGGAATATATACTGTCGATATCATTGCTCCGGCTACAGTTATGAATGGCAATATAATTCAATTAAATACGTACATTTTTAAAAGTAAAGAGGATAGTCTCGATTCATGTCTGGTAGGTTTATAGACTAGGATTAACAAATTGTATATCCTTGCGAAGGGCTGTGTAAACGAAATCACATTCCGTTCAGAATCTAGAAACCCTAGAGATACGTGGATTTGATTGGATTTGATTGGAATTGTAGATCCCGGACTACTTCAAGTTGGCTTCTGTTCGTCGAAGGTGAGCTCATAGTTAGCTGAATGTTCATCTAATAAATGTAGGTAACCATGGTAACTGCACTGTACCGAGCAGGGTGCATCTGAATATGAATAGCATAACATATGCCACACTCAATTTCTATGACAACCGCATCTGTCGTGATACAAGGATGTGTTCAGCCCGAGTGGTCAACTCGGTGTGTAGTCAGATTCGTGGCAAAGCACTGTGGTGCAGTCGATGTCCGTTTACCATGCACTTGCAGACTCCTATGAGTAGATATGAAACGTGTCAATCCAGGTTAATGGATTAAAACTCTTATTGACCAACGTTCATAAATTCGATCGAACAATATTGACGATATAAAAAGCGTCTTGTTACGTCATAGAAGCACTTAGTTTTCGAAGGCGAGGCAATGCAACGGCGCATTCTTCTGATACACCAGTGAATCAGCACATACAATAGCACATAGACATTTCAGCAAAAAACGCTATGGACATTAACGAAGCCGTAGAGGAACGCCCTGCTTCAAATAATATCCAACTCAAGGACACGCAGACGTTTTCGATTAGGCGTATTAGGAATTCACGAGTTGTCGATATTTCCAGCCGGTAATAGGTTGACCTTTGTTTACAATCACGTATCCATTAAAGGTTACTGTAAACCTCATGGGGGTTTTCGTTTATATCACTCAGTCTGATGGTACGTTTAGTTTTGTAATATTTACAATTGAAATCGTCCTTGACTGAAACGTTCCGGATAGTTCAATTAATGTCACAATTTTATACAGGTAACATGGAGTGTGTTACCAATTATATATTTACATCCCGACACAAAATCTAATTGTATTTATAAGCGTACAAAACAGCGAACAATTACCGACTTATACTGCTAGAGACAGGAGAAATGCGTAATTTAAAGCGGTTGTCGGTTTTACTCGATTTTATTGCAAAACACTATATAAAGTGTGAAAAGACTAGAAAACTGTGAAAGAAATATGACGTTACGGTTGAGTCATTTCGCTTTACTCAAAAGCATGTAGATTTCCTGCCTTATTGTTGAATGAATTTCGCAATTAAGCAATATTAGGAAGCCGTCTATAACTATTTACCGTTGAACCATTGGACATAGGTACATCAGCAATTAAATGATATAATCTAGAAGGTTTTTGAGTACAAAATAATGATTTAGGATATAATGTGTGTGTTCAACCCCCTAGGAAATAAAGCAAAAAGAGGTTATTCAGATAGTATATGAAAGTAAATTATTGGCATCAGTAATTTACGATTACTTGGCATGACTCGTCTGCACAGGAAATCGTGGGATGTAGCAATGTAGACACAGTGCAATAACAACCGTGCATCCATCCAGCGCAAATGTAATTATCAGTTTGAGGGAAAGAATATCACCGCTTCGTTATTTCAAGGACTACTCGTGACCACATTCTTGCATGTACTGCGGCTATATTGCATCGTTAATGCACCGGAACCTGTATTAAACCTCCATGGTGCAGCCAACGTTACTTTGCATATGAAAGAATTATACCTCCACGCTTTGCTGTATCAAATAACTATATATTATTTCGATAATACACACAGCATTATGATTTATAATTGTATTTTAGCGTTCAACTCGTTTAATCAAGCGCATTAAATTAATATTACATAGCAGTAACACTCGCTGTCTATATTGCCTTCTTATGCGATATTCTCAATACCTATCCATACCATTTACAGATACTTTCACAATAACTTAGAATTATTAAGGGAGCTGGATCGTCATTTGCATGCTATATTTGCAACTTACGATTGTTAAAATGTGGACGTAAAAAAACTCAGCACAGTATATATTGCCTTTTATAAATGTTATTTCTAAGACAGTATCTAGATTATGTGGTAGATGACTTATATGTGAAACGTTAAAACAAAGTAGAACATAGTTGGCATGTGGTTAGAATGTATTTTTGTACATTTCCTAAAAGTTGAGTTGTAAACTATTTATTTTAAGACCTAGTGTTTTCAAAAATATTATGCCAATAATTTTCAAAGCACTTTTGACATTGGCAGAGGCAAACAGTAGACGCAACTGTAAGTATGTATAGATTGATATACGAGTAGCTATGAATTTAAGCAATATGATGAACTACTAATATAATCAGTAAATTCGACGCAAATATTGTTTGGTTTCTGAACCTGTAGATGACATATTACTAAGTAATAAGCAAATGACTAATCAGTGATAAACAGCGATAGAAATTACGCAATAACCCTGCAGGCACGCGAGCTCACTGGTTCTCATTGCACGGGGCTACGCCCCAACGAATTCGAGGCCAACAAAAAAAGAAATCTAAACTACCTTTCGATTTTTGAGTCGGGGTTAAAACACATAAATTGAGCATGGCACTGTAAACATAGTACAACTATACAGAGATAGGCAACACAGTCAAACTGTTGTTTTCAACACTCCGGTTAATTTGATATTGGCCTCATTTGGAGTGCATTGTTGATTTAGTCAGATCTTCTCTTGCCTTGTGGAAAACCTAATTTTACCCAACTTGCATATTATTTGTTTGCTATATTGAATTGATCATTTTAAAGTTTAGTACCAATATACAAGTGATGAGTAAACCTGCATAAGATGATTGTTTATGAAAATAAATTTGCTGCTATCTTAACCCTTTGAACGTCAAGATCTTTTTTGTCATCATTCACAAAATAATTGATTTTGATTAAACCAGTAGTCAAAAGAAAATTTGGTCGATTTGGTAAACAATTACCACTATAGAAGAATAGAAATAAATCTGCAAAATATTACGTAAAATGTTAGAATTAGAAAATGTCTGATTTATTTAGCGGAGTTGACGAAAGCATGTGCGTGTTTCTGTGAAGAAGAAACATGATAATTTGTGTTAAAAATAAGATAAAGTAAATAATAAAGACAAGCTTACTTCGGCGATTAATCATTTACCAGCAAACTGTGCCAATAAGTCTGAGCTGAAACGGCATATAACCTCGATACGGATACTTATATCGTTGGATAAAAGATTCTATCTTGAAAATAGTATTAACTTTATATCGAATTTGGTTTGAAGACACGCTTTAGATTTGTCGCGGTGAATACACTTACAGACGTTTGTTGTGCATATGCATGGCTATATAACAAGTTTAGGAAACACAACATGATAGAGGGGCGTTGTAAGGGCGTAGCCCAAAACAACTTCACGTTGTCCCGTGGCGTTAGCTGCTTATACACTGACTATTTAAATTTAAAATTACCATAATTTCCCACACAACAAATCTTTCTCAAATGTTTTCCACCTCAGAATCCATTACTACACCTGCAAATCACAAGTTGCAACGTGGCGCTGATTGGCTGCTCGCACTGTCAAATGTAAACATGCACTGCAAGATCCGGTGATTGGTTCTGTTATCTTCCGACTTAGTAGTTGCAAAATTATTTTAATATAAATAATATTTAAATAATTTATTAAATAATTTAAATAATATGTGTACGTGCTAACTTTTGAATGTATTTGTTGTTCCTACACAGGATTGCACTTGGAACCATGGGAAATAGCCCTAATCGTTGGCGGCGTTGGGTGTTGCGTTCTTATAGTGCTTTGTATGTGTTGCAAAACGAAGAAAAAGAAGGCCCAAGAACAACTGGAATACAAAGCCGTCAGTGAGGGAGAAGAGAGTATTCAACTCCAGGATAGACCAGTCGCCTGCAATGAAAGGAAAGACTCCTACCCAACATCGCCGGGATACCACAGTTTAAAACTTGGGGGTGTGGAGCAAGAGGATGAGGAAACAACGTCATGTACGCGGTTATCAGGCTCAAATGTCCCGGATAATATGACGTCACTTCCGACCGAGTCACTACACCAGAATGGCAGTGTAGTTATCCAAGGCGTGAGTTCCGGCTATACTACCGTGGAGTTTTCAAAACCACCAGAGGGGCAAACGATCTCTGTATCAACGGTTTCATGCTCAGGGCCTTCATTGGACGGAACTGCAGTATCACCCATATCAATACAGCCGCATCTTGCATCGCAATCGAATGACCTGCCACCGGAAGTAAAAACAGGCAACGGTCCCTATGTTTTAGCAGACTCCGCTCATCAAGGTACTCAGACGCCTGACGGCCAACCTCCGCTATATGCCGACGTTATAAACGCGATGAGGAACGAACCTTTAGTTCGACTTCGACGGAACTCACCTCCGAAAATGTGAGCGAATTTATTTGAGGGCTGATAAGTTTCTATACAGAGTACCCTCAACTATATATTGTTGAAAGCACGCCCACTGTCACCGTAGCGGCGTTTCTCATGGGATCGTACTTATCACCGTCACTTGTCTAAAACATGATCACGTACTATGAGTTAATGCGAAGCTACATACAAGATTGTGCCTGATTGGCTACCCAACCCTAACACCTAACAGTCAGACCGATCATAGAACAGCTTGTTTGTGGACAGGTTATTTGACGTATCAAATTCTGACTCGTATTTATATGGTTCGGCTCAATTGACACCTTTTACTGCCAATGCATGCTACCACGTTCCCGGATGTGCTTCCATCAATAATATGTACGGTGGATAAAATCACGTGACAAAATAGTATGAAAGTCCCAAATGAGAGTTGTATTCTACTCCTGTATTCAAGCCAATTATGGTTTTACAGTCGCAGTAATAACAAATAATACACGGCCGCAATTGTCTTCACTTGGCGTGCCAATATGAAACTTATATGTAACAAGCTCTTGTATTTGCCGATAATGAGAGTCGTGCTCATTTGTTACAGGGTATTTATTTTGCACTAAATCAAGTAAATTCGCACTTATCATTATAGAAATGCTGTGAAAGTGTAAAAGAAAAGTATTGCTGCAAACAGTGCCTGAATAATGCTTATGTGAGAGGAATATTTACTAATGGATGTTATGCTTTTTTTATTTTAATGTATGCTAATAGCTTTTGATTATAAGCATCTTTTTCTTAAGGGGTCCATCAATTGTAACTATGAGGATGGGATGGCTGGGAGAGTGTGACCAGTGCAATTTATTGTTCGCTGTGTCATATCCGTATGTTTTATCAAATGATATCAAATTGTCAACCCCAAAATTTCATTTTGTAAATTCCTAATTAAGGTAGCGGGACTATTATTTGCATACTTGTTTTCATCTTCCAGTTGTGACTAAATGACTACAAATAAACCCAGGAAAGTATATATTTTTAGAATCGCCAGACTTCAAGCTTTTCACAAGTGTATTTTGCATGCCTGTATCTACATTCTACGACGCGTTACTCAATCAAAGGTGAAAAATTACTTTTTCTGTAAAAAAAATAATTACGCATTTATGCTGACGGTAAGAAGTATTTTTTTCACTTTTCCTAGCTGTTCAATAGTCTGGTAAATTGAATGTGTCTGGTCAG